TCATAGATCAGGGGTGTTGTTGGGAAATGTTTTTATTATCTTTCCCTTTTTCTTTTTCCCCTTTACGGAATTGAAACATCTGGACTACCTAGAGGATTAGAATGGGGGAGGGAGTTTCTAGGGAGATATATTTGAATAGTGTGGATTTTAGAGGGAGTCGGAAATTCGGGGACCCCAAGAGCATTCAGATTATAGAATTTACCAAGTTTCCCTTGATATGAGACAAGATTTTTTTTTTTTTTAGGCAGCTGGCTTCTAATAATTTTTTTCACTCAGAAATGTGACTGTAATGAGAAATAGAGAAGAAATTTTTTATCAAAAATGCCTTCTCCTCAATGCCTTCATCAGCATCCCAGGGTCTTCATTCAGCTTGCTAGTATTTGTTGGGTGATTTCACGTGCCCCTTCTTGTTTGGGGACATTAAACGTATAATGTCTTCTCGTATGGTCTTTTCAGGGCACACTTCTCTCAGCTTTGCTGGAAACAGTTACATCAAATACCGGCTGTCTGAAAACAGCAAAGAAGAGGACTTTAAGCTGGCTCTGCGTCTGCGAACGCTGCAAAGCAATGGGATTATAATGTACACCCGAGCAAATCCCTGCATCATTCTGAAGGTGATTAAAGTGGGTTATCTTCTCTCCCAGTCAATTCTCCTGTTCGTGTTGTTGGCTCTTGGACTGGGGGCTGTAGAAACCAGTTTGCCTTTAAGTACAGAAGACCAGAAGCAGATTGTCAGGCACAGGGGAACAGCAGCAGAATTGGGACATATGCCAACACCCATTTTCCATTTGAACATTCAGCTTCAAAATTGGCTCTTTGTACTCCATGGCATCTCCTTCTACAAAGGGTTCCAGCATCTTCCTCCTTGGAGCGCTAATCACTCAACAGCCCATTAGAATGGGTCTTCTAAGCACTCCACTACAGGATAGGGGTAGCCTATCTCTGCAGACCCCAGAAGGCAACGTCTGTTCTTGCTTGGGAGACAGTTGGAGATCTTCCTGTAGATGATTTCATGTGTGCTATCATGGCCCAAGGTGTCTAAGCAAACTTTCCCCAGCCTCAGAAACCTTTCTTTGTGCATCATTTGATTTTAGTATAATTCTCTTCATTCCCATTTGATCAATGGAGAGGATAGCAATTCAGACAGGTTGAGTTATTTACCCAAGGCTGCAGAGCCAATAAATAGCAATGCCTGTTGTGGCACTCCAATTTCCTTTTTTT